ACAAGTATTACAAGGCACAATCCAAAAAGGATTCATAGCCTTTGGTACACATGTTAGTCCAATCATGTAATAGAATGAGAAAACAAAAATAAAAGTCTGCATATAAAAAGAATACTAAATTGTAAAATGCAAGAAAAAGTCTAAAATTTCCATTCTGAAGTTTAAACTCACCTCCAGAGGATTGCAATATGCAAATTCAAAGATCTACAATATATATGAACTTCATTGTGACAAATAACATCAAACTCCTTAACCCAGTATTTCTCAGATTGAACCTAACGAGGAAGTTTTCTTGGAGGATACATGATTGCATAAATACCATTTCAGTCCATTTTCGTTTTATTAACTCTATTTTTGAGGACGGTGAGTGAAGGAGTGAAAGCGGTCAGTTTACAGTGCAATGGGCCGTGGTTTTAGTTCACTAACCTCCATCTGCAAAAACCTCCAAGCAGGCTTGCATATTTCCCACTTCCCCTGCATATGAGCCAAAAATGCCTCTGCCCATTTTTCCTTGCTCCCTCTCATGCTTAGATCGTAGGGGACCGAGAAACTATTCAACCATTTAACAAAAAGTAAATTCCAGTCATGTTGGTTATAAAACATCAAAATAATCATTACGATATTAAAAGTTTGGCCGTCTAAATGATGAACATGGTTATCACAATATTATGCCATCTCACAATTCAAAATAATAAAAAGCAACTCTTATGACCATAATTTCTAGAATGATAAGAAACAATGAATGACTCTTTGTCAGAATGATAAGAAAAAACTACTAGATTTTCTTTTTTATGCCCATCAATTGATTGAGCAGTTGAACGAGGGAGAAAATGGATGGTCAATCAATCAATTGAAGTACAATTTGAAAGAAAAATTTGGAGCTGATTCAAGTAGCCAATTCGCACCCCAAATCCTCATTTCCCTTTGCATATTGAAACTAAATCCAACTTCACCCAATGCTCCTTTTTCCCTTCTCCTTGGCTCTCCCACAAAACCCTCATAAGTCTTTTAACTCTGCTGCCACCTAACTTGGGATTCTGAACAAAGACAAAGAATGAGTAGGTAAACTTTCCAAACCGATTGCAGTAATGTGTGCCTCCCTACCCCTTGATAAGAAAACATTCTTCCACCCTTCCAAACTCTTTCTCACTTAGTAGACAACAAGGTCCCAAAACTTACACCCTCTGGAGTTTCACCCACATACGCAAGATGCAGATGAGACAATAGGTCTTCTGTCTATGTCCCTTAAAATCCCAAATTTTCCCCATGGCCATTCATTTTTCATTAATCATTACTGAATACTGACATCCTTGGCTCTACCTCATCCATCTCCGACCAAAACCCTTTTCCTGTAGCACAAAGTTCAAAATTCCTATTCCACGTTACCATAAGCATTCTTTAAATCAATCTACTCTGTAACTCCTCTTTCCTAATTTTCCCACAATCCTCTATCAGCCCATTAGCCACAATTCATCCGAATTGGTCTCTCTTGATTAGAATTTTACGCAGACATGAAACCAAGCTGATCAACCTAAAATTACTACTCTTCAATGAATCCGACTTCTTCAATATAAAGCAAATATAAGCTGAATTAATTTTCCCATTAGAAAACCCTTCCTAAATAACTCCTCAAAAACCTTCCTAAAGTCTAAATTTATAAACTCCAACAATGTTGAAAGAAATCCATTGAAAATTAGTATTTCACTGTACAAGGCAATAAGTCATCCTTCCTAAAAATACAGAGTCCTAAGTGCAACAGCATGGAATCCCTAAGCCCGAATTGAAGGACTACTTAGGAATATGGGGTGAGGTTCAAAACAACACAAAAGTCACCTCAGGTAATAGCAGAGATGCATGAACCACAAAACATCTCCCTCATCTTCCATACTGGTGTACTCATTCCCTAATGGATTTTTTATATATTAATATAATCCATAGTTCGTGCACTTAAAAGCAGGCTTTTCTGTCTTATTCATTATTCTTTTCTATTCGCACCAGATATCCATTAAGAATAACACTAAGTAAAAATTTATTGGAGTGTTACCACAAGAGTTCTTCTAGTTCAGATTCTTTATTGGGGGTTCCGTTCCTGCAAGAATTACAAACTTTTATGTTAACAAGCTACATGTATAAGTCTCAATGTACCATACATACACTACTTTAATTTAAGCAATGTATTTGTAAGAAGACTGACATTTGGTTCGTACTGTTAAGTAAATTAATTGCTCAAAATTGAGAACTATTTCATAGTTTTCCACGCATCTTACGAGGACAATGAGAGATTGGTATTCACACTAGTTTCTTAAGCTGAAGTTCATTGGAACAAGCAAATGTACCACAAACACAAATTTACTTTTATTGGTTATTGGACTTCTTGCAATCCTAGACATTGCGTCTCATTACTCCTTTTTCCCCTAAATGAAATACACGTAGGATGACATGTTAGTACTTTTAAAAGAACAAAAATATGTATATGCGGCCGAAGAAGGACATTGAATATCCTAGTAATTGATAGGTGCTGGTTTAGTTGGATTCATGTCATTGGCCCAATTGGCAAGAGAAGAGTGGTCCACGTGGCAGCCTTCTCACCTTTCAATTGTATTCAGTTGTGGGCTGTTTGTTAGTCGGTTTTGGGGTTGTTAGATTAGTAGTTAAGTCTGCAGTTTAGGCGGGAATATTAGTTACGAGTGCTAACCCAGTTTATAAGCTAATTTTGTAAAGCTTTCTGTTGTTGAATTGTATTGTAAAAGTTCTGAGTCAATAAAGTTACTCGTTTGCTTACACGAGTCAAGGTTAAGACCATTGGGTTCCTATCATTGGTATCGAGAAACAAGAATCTGAAAAACTAACCTGCATACTGATATTCTATAGATGTGAAGATACTTGCTAGAAATATTACGAACAGCCTTAACGCCGTGCTCCTTGATGAACATATACACAACTGGATAACCAAGAAGCCATCTGAAGCAGTTAAACAGGTATTTTTAGTGTATCAGACTGAAATGCTAATCCAAACATTCTGGATAGAAGAGAAATGAAAAATGATAATAGAATTTCATACTATGTAGGCAAAGGTAGATACTCTTGATTTTAATTTTTTAACAATTACGCAACAGTAATTATAAAACAATGCGATGCAGCCATGGAAAAACAGCTTGGCAATCGTAGAAGTGATCTTAAATATTGGAAACTAAGTATTATTTGAATGGGGTTTACATGCCACTTCTAACAGAATTCCTTCCTTAAAAGGTTATGAAATTGTGTCACAATTACTTCTGGATTAAGTCAGCTTCAACTTTGAGTCAGTTTCTAACATGTCAGTATGCACATTTTCAAGTAATGCTGAATTTTTTCACAAACATATTCAGCATCATAGAAATCTGAAGCAGCACAATATTGCACCCCAGGTGTAGTAAAGTTGCATTCAAACGTGAGCTTAGGTCATTACCCATTTAATGTTGGCAGAGTGACCTGAGTGTTTTGCATGCAGCTACTAAGATCAATAAAGTTAGATGACTGAGAAGGGATAAGTTCATTTCTGGGCGGTTTAGCATCAACCATGTTATCTATACTGTGAGATGATGATTCATCATCTTTCCTTTCACCAAGAGGAAATGACGAAGAGAACAACTTCTGAATTGATATAAGCTGCATCACCAGTGGGCTTTTTTCTGCTTCTGTTATCATCTGTAGCAGAAATGAAAGAAGTGCATTAACCAAAGAGTATAAAATAAGCATGTCAAAAGTTTAAAGGTACAGATTACAGGGGAAAAAAAGAGCATACAGCAGGAAGCAACCTTCGGAGGATCCTGTTCAAGGTCCACAAAGAGCAGCTGTCGTTCTGAGTTCAAGCTTGACCTAACATGATCAGCAAGCGCTCTAGTGTGAACTAAATATATCATTTCTTCTATAACCATTACTCTCAGATGCTCAAAAATGGGCAAATCCTGTACAAAAGTTTTAAAGGTTATTTGAGTTTCAGAAAATCAATAACTCCTAAAAAAGAAAAAGAAAAGAGGACAGAATAATATCAAGACATGATATTGAGCTCCATTTCTTAAGATCAGGTAATGCAGAATATCAGCTAAAGCTCGGACTGCATCCTAGCGGAAATATAAGGGGAAAAAAGAAAGCCGAGAGAGATAAGAAATCATATTGTGCATGGATATGAAAACCAACCAAAGACACACTAACACAGAGTAGTGTATGTGTTTACAGAAGTATGAATAAGCTAAATGGGTGTAATATTATTTTAAATGAATTGCAATCGTTCATAACCAAAGGACAAACTGTTTCAATTACAACTTTATGCACAGAGAGAGAGAGAAAGAGTCATAATTGTCAATATAGATATTTGATTTTAGCTATATTATTGATAGAAATATATAAAAACTTATGTTGAGTTGGAAATGCCTTTCCCACTGCCAAAAATATTAACAGAGTAAGAGTTAGCAAACTTGGATATAGTTTCAGTGTGTACTATGACAGCAGCAGCAGCAGCAGCAATACTAATTAGTGAAGTATTAAAAACTGAAACCTTTTGACAAAGTTTTAAAAGAGCGCAAAATCTCTCTTGCAGTTCAGGCATCTTTCCACCATAGTCTATCATTATCACTGGCCTCATTCCTGTACACAAAGCTAGAATATCTGCAAGTCCACAAAATCACAAGTCAGTACACATAATGATAAGAAATAACTTAGGTTAAAAGATTTATAAATACTTTCCTAGTAAGCTAAAGGAATTTGCAGTAACAAATAAACATAAAGATTCAAGCACTTCTTCAACTTTAAAAGTGAAATCACCAAAAGTATCATGACAGAGAAAAAATAGATGTGGCCTTCATAATATATGAAAATAGCACAGAAGCACAGGAATGAACTGAATAGTTTTACTTTTATTCCCATGTTTATTCTATGGAACAAGGAAAATAAAATTATGCTTATATCTAGTCTTTATTGCTTGTTTCCATTTCGTTATCACCAAAAAAAAAAAAAAAAAAAAAAATTTCTTTTTAATGAAATAACAAATATCATTACTATTAATCATGAGTTCTCCATTCTGAAACAGATGAAACTGAAAGAAACATAAAAATATTTCAAAAAGGAAAAAATCTTCATGAAACAAGCGCGCCCCAGAGCTATCCGACCCCGGACCGTTAGAAAACTATGTTTCAATACCCTACTGAGCTCTATACAAGTATAACCATTTGGCCTAAATATAAGCTACGCTTCTAAATTCCAACAGAAATGTTGAGTTATAAAATTGAAAACTAAAAGACCCACAAGAAAAATTATCTCTAACTGAAAAGAGACGAACAAACATTTTAATCTCTAGTTTATACAGTTTCAATGAAGCATAATTAAGTCTACAATTTGAAAGAGATAAATTATTAAAACCAGAAGCTAAATTAAGTTGTGAGAATTGAAACAGACAAAAGTATTAAAACCCAGAAGCTAAATTGAGGTAGTGAGAGTTGAAAGACACCAAAACTGATAAAAACCCAAAACCAAAACAGAGAGTTCATTTGGGAAAGCAGACCAAAAAATGCTAAAACTCATAACCGAAATTGAGTAAGGAAAATAGCAGAGACTCTAGACCCAAAGAGAGAGAAAAGAAAGACCTGTCTCAAGTCGACGTCTTGCATATTTGAGTCGCCATTTGATTTGAGACAGAGAAGAATCCAACACTCTCAATGCTTCATCTAACTCGGCGACTTCAGTTAAGAATTGCTTCTCTTTTTCTTCCCGAGGATCCGCCATTGATAGAAAACACACCTCTTCCTGAAAATGCTAGTGTTTGTTATGTGAAAAGCTGTTTTACCAGCAGACTAGTAGAGAAAAGAAGAGCGGCCATTTGGCATATGACCCAAAAAGAAAAGGTGTTGTGGTGATGGTGAAAAGGAACAACAATATTGATGGTATCAGAAATATATGCAGTCTAAAAACACGGAAATTTTGATAAAAATATTGGGATATTATCGATATCGATAAAAATTAAATAAAAGTTACGGAAATTGTAAGAAAACCTAGAAATTTTTATTGAAACTTTGGAGGATGTTTATTTAGTCAATTATCTATTAGTTTATCACAAAAAATTGGAACGAAATGCATTGTATGATGAGTTAACTGATTTAAGTTGATTATATAGTGGGCTGTAAAATATTGTGAGTGTAAAAAATATGTAGTAATTAATGAAAGAATATTAAACACACCGTGATCATTTATATACACTATGATCATTTATATACAATAATTTACTACAATATTTTACACTTTATATATTGCATAGTAAGATACATGAGTGACTTAATACCACACAAAGTTCTTATGAGGTTCAAAATTTTCACTATCTTCATCATCTCTATGTGTAGAGTAAGGCCATGTTTGGTACGCTTTACTGGACTGGATTTGGTTAAATAACACTTGAAACATTTGTTTGGTAAGAGACATGACTAAATTAAATGAGACTGTATAATTCAATAGTGAAAAAAACGCCTCACTCGCTTGTCTAATACAGTAAGCTTGAAAAGTGGTTCTCTAAATAGCACGCTCGCTAAATAGAATACGTGAGTTCGACGCCTCTCTTTAAAAAATATCATTGTAGGGGCTTTTTTTCTTCTAGCAGCAAGTGGGCTGGGCTGCTGTAAAGAGCAATCTGATGCAAGTGTCCCATTGTGTCTGGGTTTGAAGATCAAGCCCCAAGGATGTCTCGAAAGGGTGATGACGCCTTAGGAAACTCCTTGGTTACCTTCACCAATGAAAATGACAACAAATTACAGATAAATATTCTAGCTTGGCATGAGTGACTTATGGCATGGGAGCAAAAATTATCATGGGTTTAGCACTTTAGGAGAGAGATCTGTGGGTTCTTTATGAGGTACAGAGGTTCTAATAGAGAGGGAGAGAGGTTCTAAGGAGGTTTGATGAAGAGGGAGAAGGATGGTGAAGAGTTTTGGGTGACTTTCGCAGTTTCCGGCAGCTTGACAGTGACTCTGTCAAAGCTTCTGTCAATCTGCCAAAACAGGGGAAATAAAGAAAAATGAGGAAGAATAACACGAAAATTCCTGGGTTTGCATGTGAGAGAGAAAACTTGCTCTCTGAAGGTTGTGGGTTGTCCCTGTTGGGTAGGGGAAGGCTCAATTTATAGTTGCTGGAAATCACCATTTTTCAAAAAACCCTAATGGCTTCTACTTATTTTGGCTAAGTTTTTTCTTCCTTTCTCCTCATCTTCTCTGACTTCCCTTTCTTGGCAAAGATTGCTTCTGTCTATTTACATGAATTCAGGGGATTTGGGGGCTCAACATCCTCCTTTCCCGCAGCTGTGCAGTGGGAGCTTCCACTCTTGGTTTGCTGTTTTTTCTTCTTTCCTTTCCTCTGTTTTAACCAAATCTGGCGAAGGAAAGGAAGTGAAGATGCATACTAGTCCAAGGGATGCTTCTGACAACATGCGGGATAGTACTCATTGATTCTTTGGATGTCTCTGGCTTGAGAATTGTTTCCAGCAACTTTGCTTAAGGAGTCTGCCAACCTCTCTTCACGTGTCCTCTATTTTTTCAAACAAAAGCTGAGGTTTTTGTGGACTATTTTAGGATTTTTATATGGGCCAAGGTGATTTTCTAAGCAAAGGGTTTTTATTAAACATTGGACTTCTTAGTTTGGGCTTTATTTTGGTTGGATTGTTTTGCTTGGGTATTGGGCTATTTTTTTTTTCTCTTGTGCTTACCCATATGTTTGGGCCTAAGAAATGGGCTTGAGCCTCAAGGCTCCCAAGTAACCCGAGACTTTTAATTTCCCGGCCCATCAATGGGCCTCATGTTGATTTATTACCATCCGTTCCATAACCCACTCAAGCAAGCCCCGAGTTTTTTGAGTGGCTTGGGCCCACCTAGGCTTGTAGCGTGGTTGGGTGCGAGATAACGGCATGGCATGTTGCTCGGCATATTTTAATTTATCCATAATTTCATTTGTTTTCTTTTAATTATTGTTTTAGATCTTTGAATGAGTTTTTTTTGGCAGCATTTATTTATTTTAGATAAAAATCCTTAATTAAATTTAAATATTACAGTAATTATTTTGACATTGCATTTGGAAAATCAAACTATAGTAATTTACAAATGTTTGATTTTTTTTTTTATATTGAAACAAATTTAATAATTCATTATGTGATGCTTTCTTTATCACAAGCAATTTTTACCTTGTCAAATTATATTTTTCAATTTGAAGTGAAAAGTCAAATATATAAAAATTATGCATATATATATATATAATTTATTTATTGTTTTACTTGGTCCCTGAAAAACCTAGAATTATATTGAGTGAGGTTAGCTCCTTTAACAAAGTTTCCACCAACTAAGATTAATCTTGAGAAGCAAAAAAAACAAATATCATAATTTTATTCTTCATAAAAAATAAAAATAAAAAGAATTTTATTTGTTTTCTACACAAAATTAATTTCAATACTTATTTTATGTTGAATTTAATTTTCCAGATTTTGTGCGGTTTGATTACCTCTTTAAAGCTGAAGTTATTTTGTACATTTATTGTATAAGTTTTGATATCTCTTTTATTGGAATTTATCTTATTTTGCTTTAATTAGCCCTTAAATGTTTACGTTATTTGCTTTTGATAATAATAATAATAATTATTTATTTTACAACCATGTTGTAGCATCCCAACCCAAAATTTAATATTACGTTAATTTAATTAATTTAATAAATTAAGGTACTACAATTTTGCCCCCGAGGGTAGGGGTAATTTGGTCACTTTTTAATCCGGATGGATATTGGGGAAATGAATGGGACTATTGTGTAGATCATGCTGAGATGAATCCGTAGATACGTAGTGGGCAAAATTGTAGTTGTGGCAAAATCGTAAATAATTTAAAGTTGGTTTTTAAATAGGGACATAGCTCTAAATGCCACCCCTCTTATAATTTTACTGAAAATACCACCCCTCCCCAATTTTTTTTTTTGCAACTATCACCTATAAATATATATTTATTGTCCACTTATTGCCCACAAGTCACATTTGCTGAAATTTGGTTCTCTCTCAGCTCCCTATTCACTCTCTCTGTGTTCGCTTGCTCTCTCTCTCTCTCTTTATCTCTCTATCTCCTTATTCGCTCTCTCGCTCTCTCTTCTGAATCGCAAAACCCTCCATCGAACCCCATCTTTTAGGTATGTCTTCTGAGTAGCTGCTTGCAACCTTGAAGCTCTACTGGATCGCTGACCTCAAATAGGTAGTGTTGATGGTTATTTTCTTAATATCTGTGGGATTCTGTGAAATTGGTTTTATTTTGATTGCTTAGGTTTATGTTAAATTGGTATTGGCTTTAGTTGCTTTCGGTTAGGTTTTTTGAATCTTCATGCTCATCCATCTGGGTTTTTACCAATTGCATTTAGATTGCTCTAGATATGTGAATCTTGAAACTTGGGATTTTCCATTTGATGTTGTATAGTGTGATTGTGATGAATCCTTGTTCATTGCTGTGTTAGTGTTGTATTGCTGTTGTGTTCCTGTTATTTTGCTATCTGTTGGGGTCTTTTTCCGTCGGAAGACTCATCTGGGCTTATTGATTCTTGGACCACCATAGAGTGATGAATCAAGCCTTCGTTGCCCATTTTTCTGAGTTAGCGAGAACTAGGCCTAAATTATCCCAAGGGAGAAGCAAGTCCCAGGGGAGTACTTTGTTCACGGCTGTGTGTTTTGTGCTGATGTTTCAGGCAGCTTGACGAAGAATTGAATATGGTGGATTGATGTTGCATAGGTTTGGCATGAGAGTTTGCTTTGGTGAATCAAGATACCACTAAGCTTGGCATGAGAGCTTGAAGTGTGGGCACTAAAGACCCACAAGTTTAGTAAAAGAGAATGCATGTGCTTGGCTTGGTGTTAGATATGCTTGAGTTTGGGTGTTGATAATCTGTTGTTTGTGGCTATGGCTATGGGGATTTAAGAGTTTCAGGAAAAGAAGGATGGGAGGAAAAGCTTGAGGTTTGAAGGCTATGGTGTTTATAGCTTGGAATGAAGGAAAAGCTTAGAGTTATGCTTGGTGAGGCTTTATGGAGAAGATGATGGATTTCAAGGGTGAGATAGTAGAAGACATGGTTGTGATAGCTAAGAAATGGTTGGGATAGCCGCTGGAATGCTTGCAGCAGCCGAAGGGAGGAAGGAAAGTGGTCTGATAGTTGCTGGTATGCTTGAGCAACCAAGAGATGTTGGTCGATGGTTGTTGGGATGCTTCCAGCAACCCAACGATGGAGGCTTATGGCTCAGAAATGATTGTGAAGGCTACTGAAATGCTTGCAGCAGCTAAGGAAAGGTGAGTGAGACAACAGTTTTTGAACCTAACTCATAAACTTACGGATAAAATTCAAATTCAATTAGGAATAATTTTAAGAGTAAATATCATTAAATCATAGCATATTATAATTCAAATTCAGAAACTTATTGCAAAATCATATTTTCATTTCCAGAAATTATAAACCTGTAGGTTTCTCTTAAAATATTGATTTATCATATTTTCCCCGCAGGTTTATAACATATTATAATAATTTACCGCAGGTTCATCATTAAACTATTAAGATTTATTATATGGAAATTGTTATAATTTGTAAACATATTATAATAATTTGTCACACAATAACTATATGCTCTTAAACATGCGGGAATTATTGTTAACCTAATATGGTATCACATTTTTATAAAAAAATAAAAAGTAAAAAAATCATACCATATTATATTTAAACCACTTCTCATTGTTTCGCATGGACGCGGATAGTATTTAATGTCTTATATTTGAAATCTTAAATTTGTCATTATTGGTTTTTGACATTAGCTTTTTTGGTTCCAAAAAATTGG